AAGTTGCTCCCCCCCGTTGAGCGAGCCTGGGGTGTTTTTCCCAAGGAGTTTCTCAGGAGCCCCCCCAAGGGTCTCGGGGGCCGCCGGAGGGGTGAGTCAGCGCTGACGCACGCCCAGCTGCGCTCGCCTGGCTGGGTGCCGCGCCCGCCCCGCAGGGTTCCTGGTGCGAAGCACCCGGGGGTTGGGAAGATGATAGTCCCTCAAGTGAATGTCTAGAGAGCTTCCCTGGTCTGAGAGATCCCAGGCCAGGCCCTCTTGGAAATCCTTCCTAAGGTAAACTCAGTCCCCCAACACACACACACACGCACGCGGGCCACTGTCTCTGAAGTTCAGGGAGGTGCCTGCTCCCGTGGATAAGCCCAGATTGGCCTATGCCCCATTCCCATGCTCACACATCCACACAGTTGTTCAACCTCGGCAATTTTTCAGAATGCAAGCCCCTGGGACATCAGGAATGTTAAACACCGGTGCCCAGGCCCAGGCAGCCCCATCAGTCACCCGCCACATGGCCACAGCTTTTGTCACCCTCCTACACTTTCAAACTCTCACATATGCTTCCACTGGCATCCATACAACACAGTCAGCATTCACAGCCAGTCACCCACACGGCTTGGCCACACTCTCAGGTATTACCACATTCCCCCAACTTGAGTCTAAACGCAATCACAGACTCGCCTGCCGGACCTCACTGCGGGGACACAGAGCCACAAGTCAAAGAACTGAACCGAACCTTTCCATCAATGGCCAAATACCCACACACATTAACACACCACAGATCGCTCTCTTAGCCACTCCCTGGTCCATTGAACATCACACACATGTACAATCTCATGCACGTGCACAGAGGCACATATACCCATTTGCACAGGCACTCACACCTATGCTCCCCTACACTTCTGAGGGTGTCCCAGCCGTGTCCCAACCTGCTCCCTGCTTGCCCCACTCCACATCCTAGATCCCACCCAGTGTCTCCCTGGGGCCCTGACCACCACAGTGGAGAGTCTGTGGGGGAAGGGTGGGCTGGGTCCTTGACAGACCCCCACCCCCTGGCTTGCAGGCAAGACTCAATGCCTCTTGTGTGTCTCCTTGTCACGAAGCCAGCCATGAAAAGAAAGGGAAGTCAGTTTCTGAAAGGTCATTTAAGAAGGGACACAAGATTGAAGCAAGAGGCATTTGGGTTAGATGCTGGGAAGGAGTTTTTTAAAAATTTAATTAAAAAAAAAAGTTCTTTTAAATTGACTTTAGAGAGAGAGGAAAGGAGAGAGAGGGAGAAACATAGATGAGAGAGAAACATTGATCGGCTGCCTCCTGCATGCCCCCCCCCCCGGGGACTGAGCCTGAAACCCGGGCATGTGCCCTGACCAGGAATCAAACCGTGACCTCCAGGTTCATGGGTTTACGCTCAACCAGTGAGCCACACTGGCTGGGCTAGGGAGGACTTTTAAAACATGAATGAGTGACTGGTAGAGAGGAGGCTTTTCCCCACTGCACAGAGACTGGAGTCAGGTTGAGGGGAGAGCCTGGGAGAGCCACACTGAGATAACAGATCTCAGGCCTCCCCTGGGCCCCAGCCTGGAGAGGGGTCAGCTGGGATTGTCAGCGCACGAGGGAGTGACCCTTGTGGTTAGCAGAGCCTGGGAGCCCAGATCTTAGTCCCAACGGTCTATAACACAAATACCTCTTAATGACAGCCCAGCCGCGGAACAGGCAATGAGAGCTGGGGCTGGTGATGGCAGCAGGATTGAGGGGGAAGGGGGAGAGAGGGGAAGAGAGAGGCTGCTTCAGAGCTGGACATGGAGAGACCTGGAAAGACCGAGACAGAAAGTGGGGCAGAGAGAGGGTGGGGTGGGGGGAGAGAGAGAGAGAGAGAGAGCAGACAGGTTGGGGGCAGGAGGGAGCTGAGGCTGAAACGGGCTCTATGGAGTAGGGAGAATGACAAGTCTGACCCAGGAGGAGTTAGAATGGGGTCCCTCATCCAAGCCCCTCTCTCCCGCTGGTCTGGCCCCCTATCCTGGCCCCCAATGGTGAGGTCAGCAGAGCCGCCCCCAGGGTGAGGTCATGGGCAGATTCAGTAGAATCTGGCTCCTGCCAAGAGGCTGGGTCAGGGGGTCAGTGGGGCGTCTGCTGGGGGTGGGGAGGAGAGATCAGGCAGGGGCTTTGGGCCAGGGGTAGCTCCCGCCTACCCCTGCCCAAGCCATGTGGTTCCACTTACTGCTGCTCAGTCTGGGCTGCATGGGGCAGGACTGGTGGGACTGCTTGGATTAGGCTCTGGTTGGGCCAGACCAGTCCTTTTCTTTGCTGAGATGAGAGGGAGCAGGTCAGAGGGAGGAGGTCAGGGCGGTATCAGAGCTAGGTAGTCCTAATGAAGACAAAGAGGGAGATAAAATGGGGAGGCCACAGGTCAGATGAAGGAGACTGGGACAGGCAGAGGGAGGAGGTCAGAGGGCGGAGGTCAGAGGGCATGGCTTGAGAAAGAGTGGTCAGAAGGAGGAGGCCTGAGTGCAGTAGTCACAGGGAGGAGGCCATGGGCGATGGTGGTCAAGGAGGAGATCAGAAGGAAGTGGTCAGGAGAGGTGGTGGCCAGAGGAAGTTCACTGGAAGTGGTGGTCAAAAGAAGAGGTCAGAGGGCGGAGGTAGGGAAAGAAAACACAAGGAGCCCCTCCTCTCCAAGTGGGTTTCCCCTGGCAAGGGGGCTTCAGGCCTGGGAAGCAGCCTGGGAGCTGGTGCGGGGGAGGGCAGAGAAGGGGACAGTCTGGCTCTGGGGCTCAGGCCAGGAAGCTTTGATTCATCCCAGAACTAGGTCAGTGTTTTTTCTCTCACCAAAACCAAGGGAAAAAACACAACAAAACAGGAGTCAACAGGCTACTGAAGCCGGAACAGCTGTGGGGGAGAAGGGGGTGAGGGTCCCACACCTGATTCCTCTCCCTAACCCATAAACACAGTTGGGGAGGGCTGAGTCCCCAAACCTGAGCCACTCACACGGAGTCCTGGGCTTGTTTTAACTGCCCTGCACTCTGCTTCTTTCTGCAGCAGACCCCGTGGACGTGCTGAAGGTGCTAGGTGTCCGGGGGGGCCAGGCTGGGGTCCCAGAGGGGCCTGGCCTCTGCCCCCAGAGGGCCCCAAAGGGCGACCAGGCATTCAGGGTGGGCAAGGCCAGCATCCTAGGCATCCCCACCTGGGAACTCTTTCCAGGTAAGTCAGGTGTGGGAGGGGCTGGGGATCATCCTGGGAACACGGGTCACTGCCAGGTCATCCGAGCTGCCCCTTTCCCTCTGCCCCCCATCAGATGGACACTTTCCTGAAAACTTCTCTGTGCTGATCACTTTTCGGGGCCAGCCAGCCAACCAGTCTGTCCTTCTATCCTTTTATGATGAGAGTGGTGCCCGGCAGCTGGGCCTGGCCCTGGGGCCGGCTCTGGGCCTCCTCGGTGGCCCCTTTAGACCCCTCCCTCAGCAGCTCAACCTCATGGATGGCAGGTGAGTATAAGGAGAGTGAGGATCCAAAGAGTGGTGGGGTGAGAAGCATCCCCCACTGAGGCTTCTCCCTGCAGGTGGCACCGGGTAGCAGTCAGCGTGGACGGTGACATGGTGACCCTGGTGGCGGACTGTGAACCTCAGCCCCCTGTGTTAGGCCAAGGACCTCGATTCATCAGCACAGCTGGAGTCACTGTGCTGGGGACCCAGGACCTCAGAGAGGAGACTTTCGAGGTAGGTGTTCAGTGATAGGGGAAACTGAGGCAGAGGGCAGTGGAAGTTTTATCCACAGCCTGATCTGGAGAAGAGATTAGAGAAGGGGGACATCCAGCTCCGCTTACCGCCAGGAAGCTGAGAGAAGGGGCACCGCACATCACTGTGCATCTCTCCGGTGTGTGACTGAGGTTCTAGAGCCACGTGGTAATTTGGGCTGCACACACTTGGCCTGTGGTGGGGGGGTAAGGTTGTGGTGTGACTGTGTGTGGGTGGTTATGCTGTTGGGTGCCTGCAAGGCACGGTGTTGTGCAGCCGTGTGACAGGTGTGTTTTTGGTGCGGGGACGTGCTGTAAGTGATTGTGCCATGTGCCACCTCCAGGGGGCCAGGGGCCTCCTCTATCCTGTTGCTCCCCTCCCCAGGCGCCTGGCAGCAGAGAGCGAAGGGACGGATGTGCCTCTGATGGGATGGATGTTGTGGCGTGTGGTTCGCAGTTGTGATTTGCTGTGACCCTGATAGAATCTTTCTTTTCTCAGTTTTGAGGGGCAGAGGGGTCACTAGGGCTGTGGCAGGGCCACCCCCTCCTTGTACTTTGGTGCTGTGGGTGGAGAAGCACCAAGCCCCTGTGCTTGGAATGGGGTCAGAGGCAGCCCGTGGCTCCCTTTGCTGTCTCCCACCCTCTCCCCAGGGAGATATTCAGGAGCTGCTGATAAGCCCGGATCCTCAGGCTGCCTTCCAGGCCTGTGAGCAGTACCTTCCTGGCTGTGACCACCTGGACCCTGCAGCCACAGGGGTGAGTAAGAGGCTTATCCTGAGGTCACAGGCTGAGTCATCCCTGCTCTGGGTCTCAGGAGGGAGGGAATTCTGAGCCCCATCCATGGGACTGAGTGGCTCCTGCCCTCAAACAGATTCTAAGCATGAGTGACCTTGACTTCAGGTCACATAACCAGGTGACCCTTAGCTCCAGATAATATAATTGACCTTGACCTGGGGTCACAAAGCTGAGTGAGCCCTGGTTTCAAAACACAGGATCAATAGATCATGTGCCAACATAGCCCCAGGTGGCCTGATGAGGCCTCCACTGAGGGCCCCTGGGTCTGATTGGGGGTCTCTTTCCCAGGTCCCCCAGGGTGAGCCAGAAACGCCTCCCCCTCAGCGGAAGAGGAAGGGGAAGGGGAAGGGGAAGAAAAAAGGGCGCGGTCGTAAGGGGAAGGGCAGGAAGAAGAACAAGGAGACCTTGACCCCAGCTCCTACTCTTGGCTCCCTGGAGAACCAGGTAAGGGGCCTGCAACCTCACCTCTGATTGCCGACGGCTGATTTCTGGTCTCTGATTCCCACTGACAATTGGCAACTCATTGAAGGTCTTGCTTCTAGTCTCCAATCCCTGACTTTTGATTTATCTTAGCTGACTGATGAATGGGTGGCAGGGAGAGGGTGCTGGTCCTGCCTTACGAGCTCTCCATGTCTGCCCCCAATTTCTGGGGGACTGGAGGGAGGGGGCACACCCAGATGAGTATCTTATTATTAGAAGGGTCTTGATGAGGGTTACTGTTTAAGGGTAGCTGGGGTGAATGATGGGTTCATTAGTGTGTCATTGCTTGGGGTTGACGGGCTGGGGTCATTGGTAAGGATTATTTACTGGGGATCATTAACCGAAATTGGGAGCAGTATTTGATCCCTCTGGTAGAGGTTGCTGGTTGGTGGGGTCACTGTAGGGAGATAATACTTGAGATCAGTGTTTGAGGGGTTCCTAGTTGGGGGTCACTGTTGGAGGACATTGATGGAGGCCACTGTTGATGTTATTAGTGTCACTAGTTTAGGGGTAAATTGTGGGGGTCATTGCTGAAGGTCATTACTTGAGGAGGTCATCCATGGGGGAATCACTGATTGGAAGGCACTAGTTGGAGGAGTGACTTTCAGGGGGTGCATGGATGAAATAGTTAGTTTGAGAGACTGCAATGGGAAGTCATGGATGGGTCATTGGTTAGTCAAATCACTGTTTAGTGTTGGGGGGTCATTGTTTAGGGAGCACTAGTTGGGCTCACTATGGGTATTCATTGTTCATTGTTGGATGAACCGGTTGGGGAATGATTATTAGGAATCACTGGTAGGGCCTATTAGTTGGGGGGATCACTAGTTAGTGCTTATTGTGGGGATATCACTGGCTGGAGTCATTGATTGGAGAGGTTACTGAATGAAAGAGTAACTGTTTGTAGCCATTGATGGGGGCCAATGATGTAGATTATTTGTTGGGGACATTGGTTAGGTTTCTTAGTGGAGATCATCAATCGGGGGTCATTGATAGGGGTAATTATTTGGTTGGTCACTGGGCAGGGGTCATTGGTGAATACCATTGGCAGGGGCCTTTGGTTAGGGTAGGGTCACTGATTGTACTACATCTGCTCTCAATATTAGCAGGGAGAAAGAAGTTATTACTTCAGGCCCAGGCTGCCCCTGGTGTCCAGGGGTAGCCTGCCCCTCTCCAGTCCCTTCCTCAGCCACCGCCCCTTACCTTGGCTCCCACTCTCTTTTTTGTGCTCTTGACTCAGTTCCTCTGCAGCTGTCCAGCCAGGAGGAGCTGCCACTCCCTCAGTGACTGTGGCCTGGCTGGCTGACTGCTGAGCTCGCCTTGGGAGAGAACATGTGGGATAGGCTTCCGGGAGTCTGGCCCTGAGTGCTGGACCTTGAACTTGACCATTGGGCTCTGGAGCCAGCCCGCTCTGTTTTCCAGGCTTCCCAGACCTGGCTCAGCCTTACCCCTCCTGCACACATGAGGGCTCCCCCTGCTGGCTGTCCTGGTCCAGCCAGCACCCCTTTGCCTCCAGTGGCCAGCCCCCTACCCCACATCCCTCTTATGTTTCCTGGGAACCCTCCTATATCCCCTTCCCCAGACAGCGCTGGAAGGAGGGCAGGGCCAATGTCCTCTGCTTCCTTTTTGTCTTAATTGGCCTGACCCTAAACCTGATACTCCCTCGTCTCTTCTCCAGACCTCCCCTGACATCCCCAAGACAGAGACAACAGCTCCAACTCTGCCTCCGACTCCCATGCCCTTGGCCATCACCACCACTGTGACTATTGGCAGCAATGTCACCATCCTCGAGGTTGGTGGGAAGTGGGTGGGGCTGGAAGGGAAGGTCCCTGGGCAGTGGTGGTGGTCAGGGGCAAACTTTGGTCTGTCCTAACATCCTCAGGGGGGGCTGGACCCTGACGGTGGAACTGAACTGGGGACCCTGGAGACTGAGTTATCCAGAGAGGATGAGGAAGGTGGCCCCACCATGGGCCCTGACTTCCGGGCAGCAGAACAGCCATCGAGGGCTCAGTTCCAGATCTTTCCCGTGAGTCTGGGTCACTGGGTTAGGCACAGGGGGAGCCACACATGGTCAAATTCTCTCTCTCGCCTTTTAAAAACCTTGCTTAGAGTGCCTTCCCACCACCCCAGTTCAGTTGACAAATATTTATCTACAGACACTGTGCTAATGTGACAGGCATTGTGCTAATAGATGGCTCTGTGGGTGGGGTGATTCATTCAACTTCTAGTTTAAGCATCATGAGAAGCCTCTGGAGACGGAGCATAATCTGCTTCCGAGCGTTGAAGGCTCCCTCTGGCTGCTGAACAGCACGCGGACTGTAGGGGGAGCCAGAGGGGCAGCAGGGACACCAGTAGCCTCAGCAACAGAGGGTGGCGCCCCGGGGGAGGGCAGTGGAGGTGGGGATAGGAAAAAGTGGACAGATTTGGGTCATGCTCCGTTTTGGTCTTGCTGCTGGAGGTGGAGAAAGATGTAAGGATGACGGTAGATTCCTGATGGGACCGTTGAATGCGATGGGAAAGCCGGAGGAAGGAGCAGGTAGAAAGTGCCAGGATCTCATTCTGGGTGTGCTAAATTGGCAACCCCTTTTTGGCATCCAAATGGGAATGTCAAGCGGATAGATGGTTAGTTAGAGGATTCTGGAGTTCAAGGGAGATGGTCTAGGCTGGAGATAAAGACTCGGGACTGATCAACAGAGAGATGTTATCTTTAGCCAAGGAATTAGGTGAAGTTGCCCAGGAAAATAATGCAGGCAGAGGAGGCGTCAGGTCCTAGCCTTGGTGCTGCACAGGGTGGAGGTGGAGAATCCTAACGAACTTACCTGAGTGCCTGTTAGATGCCAAGCGTTGTTCTAACTTATTCATATTTTCATGGGATTTTATACAGTCCTCACTCAGCCACCGACTTTGCAGGGGAGGCCATAGAAGCTAAGTAAGTTGCTGAACATCTATTAGCTAGTGAGAGACAGCCCCAGGTTTAGGGCCTCACAACAGGCCCTGGAGTTGGTGCTTTTACCTGACGCAGCGGCTGAGCTGCTCAAAACACACTGGGTGGAGGAGGGACAGCAGAGGCAGCTCAGAGGGCGGCCTCTGTGAGCATGCGAGCACGTGTGTGCGCGTGTGCGTGCGTGTGTGCGTGTGCGTGTGCGTGTGTGTTGAGTGTGAGGTTGGTTCGCTGGGAGTTCTTTGTCTGAGTTCCAGGGCTCACAGGTCCTTTCTCTCCACCCCCTGTCCCAGGGCGCTGGAGAGAAGGGAGCAAAAGGAGAGCCTGCGGTGATTGAACAGGTGAGGGGCCTGGCGCTGGGAGGAAGTGGTGGGATCGGGGCTAGAATGGGGGTGACACTCATTTCTCCTTCAGGGACAGAGGTTTGAGGGACCTCCAGGAGCCGCAGGACCTCGCGTGAGTCAGGGCTGCATTGCGGTCTTCCCCCCTTTCTCTTGCAGTTGGGGTGTCTGAGCCCTGGGGGTGAGGAGCTGGCATGTGGTATTGTCAGGCCATTTGAAGACTATTGGACATGTGAGGCTCAAAGGATGTCGACATAGGGGTTGGGTGTAAAGGGGATTGATGTGGGTCAGTGGAGTATTAGGGGGCCAGGCGTGGCTCAGTGGTGGGGTGGAGAGGTCGGCATGGG